ATGTGTCATAACCAGCGCAAATATTTAATTTTTCAAAAATCATCTTAAGAAACAAATTCAGTTTAAAAAGAGTAATAAAATTTTGAATTGGATATTAAAATGATATTCTCAGTACTATTTCAAAACTTGTACACTTTTATCACAACGAATTAGTACAGACCTTCATATAAAATGTATTTGTGCCTTACTTTTATCTCTTTTCCTTAATATTATCAGGAATTACCCATTATAATATTTCTATACAAATTGTAGTACTGGTCAGTGATTAATTTCACATGGAATATTCAGTTCAGTACTTGAATATTAATATTAAAATACTGGCCAGTGATTTATTACACATGGAATCCTTGGTTTAGTACTTCAGTACTAACATTGAAATACTCATCAGTAATTCAACACAAGTATTTATTACACAAGTATTTTTTACCTAGTATTAAATGCTTTCTCGCCAGAAATTTAATACTAAGTATTCAATACTCGTCCTGTATTAAATACTACTTTCATAAATTACTTACCAGTAATAAAATACTATGCAATACTTGGATCACAGTGATTCAAGTACTAATAAATACTTAATTTTAGTATTATTAATACACAAAATAAGTATTTATTACTAACCAGCTAGTAATACTTTTTTGTAAGGGACTAGGTAGATGTGCTAAACCCAGTGTCGTGTTCTAGGTTAAGCGTACACACATATTTCAAATATTCTTTTACATCTTAAGTGCAATTTATATACACATATTTCAAACTAATCAAAATATTTTTAAAACAAATATTCCCGTGATATATTTGTTTCTGTGTAAAAACATCACAATAACAAGAGACGCCTTTTAATTAACAATGATAATACAGGATCGTGTCAGGAACGAAATCAACACTGCCTTGCAAGAGAATGAGCAGAAGTTTACTATGAACTTATTGCAAGACCTACCATATTTGGACAGATGTATAAAGGAAGCATTGCGCTTATACCCCAGCGTGATTTTCATATCACGAATTCCTGCGGAAGACGTAAAATTACGTATGCATCTAACCAATTTTTTCTTGTATAAATTTTTAAATAATTACGCCACACGTCATTAAAAGGCAACATTCCCGTATATTTCAAAGATTCAAAAATTTGTATATTTTTACTGATAAGTTTATTTCTATAATATTTCAAAATTTTATATACAAAGCTCCATCTAATACAACGTATAATATTTTGAGAAAATAATGTAAAACAAGTAAGGCTTAATAAAATTTAAATAATAATTACATTATATTTTTTATCTTGCAAACTATAGGGAATTATTTCTATGTTGCATTAAATTCATATTAAAAAAAAAATTCTTGGTAAGTTGGTGATAACGAAGGTTCTTGGTAACATTAGCCAAGCCTGGATTATTAAACATCTTTTCAGTGTATATATTTAATTTTAAAATTTGAGGGAATACAGCTTAAATTTTTATTTTTAAGTTATAATTATTGTACGATATATCTTTTAGAGTCATATTTGGTACCTGCTGGAACATTCTTGCATCTTAACATTTACGGAGTCCACAGAGATCCCAATTTTTGGTCAAATCCAGAAGTATTTGATCCTGATAGATTCTTGCCTGAGAAGATCCGACATCGCCATCCTTATTCGTATTTACCATTCAGTGC